CCGAGGGTGACACAGGCATGGAAGCAGCACTGAAGTGGTCAGTCCTGAGTTCCTTGGGTGAGGGCCCCCAAGGGGGGGGGGGTGTCGGTCACTGTCCATGGTCTTGTCAGAGGTGCCTAGACAACCATGGCCAGCTCCTTCCCTGGATGCAGGCTGTTCGGCTCCAGGCCTGGGCTCTCCCCAGATCACCTGACCCAAGCACACCCTTTAAAGACCTATGTGATATTCTCAAAAGTCTTCTCTTAGGTTTTAGTCTTGGGGACTCTGAACAAGATAAACAGCAAGAAGATAATAAGGAAGATAATAAAGATGATAAAAATGTAAGTTCCTAAGTAGCTCTAGTTAAGAGGGGAAGGTTGATACTAATTATGAAACACTGGTCCTTGGCAAATCCAACCTCCCTCATATCTGAGTTTCCAGGAGGCCTCAGGGTATAACCAACCCTTATCCTGCTTCCTGGTGGTAAGGTTACAGACACAGGCTACCAAGGTCAACATCTCCAGGACACTTTCTTTTTTGTTTTTTTAATTTAAAAGAGAAACAAAATAAAACAACAGAATAATGAAAGCAATGCAGGACTTCAAATCAAGATAATAGGAAGTCAGTAATGGCTACCATAATATCTCCTTCTTCAAAATGGCTGTCCATACCATCAAACATACCTGGGAGTTTGAGTTCAGTCTGGGCCACAAAGTGAGTTCAAGTGCAGACTGCACTGCATAGTAAGACTTTGTTTCAAAAAGACCAAAAACAAAACAACAACAAACCCTCTTTTTGTCTGAGCTATACTTACCTTACAAGCTGCAGCTGGTATTGGACTGCTAAGGCAAATTGAGATTCATTATTCTCTAATTATGAAAACAAGCTGGGCCTGCATTTCCCGTCCTTGAATATAATGTCTAAGTTTTTAAAATTTTCTTTACAGTGTGGATTTGTGTTGTGTTGTAGTCAGAGTTTGCAAGGAGAACAAGACAATACAAGACACATAATTTATAGTATTATTGGTCACTCGAAGAATTACACACAAGAAGTGCAGGAAATTTGTCCACATTAAAACCCAAAGAATCCAGTTGAAGGCCTAGATTCCATGGCAATGTCCTACATGAGTCCAGCCAAAGACCTAGAGACCATGATAAAGACCCCCATGCATCCAAATGGAGGCCTAGAGCCCATAATAATATCTCATGCAAGTCTGTTTCATGAACCTGCACTGGGAAGGCCCAAAGGTCAGCAGCAGAAGATAAAAAGTCTATGCCAGTGGGATGAAGGATCTCTACCAGCAGGCTGAGGGTTCGGCACTGGAGACAAGTGATGTTCAAAGTAAGGACCAGGAAAAAAAAGGGTGCTCTCCTGAAAACTACTACAATCATCCTCAGCAACAATGATGTCCCAAGATCCTCTGATGATGTGAACAGCAGAGTTCCTATCAGGAAGCCAGTGTGACAAGCTTCTCCTGGAGATTGAACATCACACATCTTCCCCTCTGGAGGCAGGAAGTGGTGCTCAAAGTAAGGACTGGAGCTCACCCAAAGTGAACCACAGCCTTTCTCAGCAACAGCAAGGTCCTGAGCTCATCTGATGAGAACACCCAAGTTCATAAAAGGAAAGAAGTGTGACAAGCTCCTCCAGGAAAACCCACGGCAACAGGAGAACCAACAAAACCACAGGGAACCAACAAAACTACAGAAAACCTGAAACACAACACTTCCTCTCCAGTTCTCCTTTTTATCTCAGCAACAGTCCTCAGGTGGGCCATCCACACTCTGCATCACACCGATTCAGTTCAGCTGGTATTTCTAGCTGACTACCAGTTATCAATCCACCACAGGGGTATAATGATACAGCTAATGTGAAGAACTAGTGTTCAATCCCCCGTGCTGCCCCAAACAATCAAACCAAAAAAATAACATACACCCCAAAGAAAAAAAAATACAAAATTTCAAGGAGGTACAAACCTAATTTGCGGCATTTCATTTTGTATCTTTTTTGGTCACTGAGTATTCTGGCACAATAGAGAAGCAAAAGCACAAAATGAATAGGTTTATTAGGTTGAGGACATAGAAAGGAGCACACAACCCATGGCAGCTGGGCTGTCTCCTTCAACCAGGTACAGAGGCAGAGAGGTATATAACCTCTGATTGAAGTGGCGCCTGGGGTGGATATTGATGATGTGTGAGGACCCCACTAGAATTCTCTGTGCATGCAAACAGGAAGGGGAGTTCCAGGGGAGGCCTGAGGAACAAGCATTCCCACTTTGGCCTTCCGCCGTGTTAAACCACCTCCGTAACTGTACAGTACTTTACTCAAGGGCAAAACTCTTTCAGTCGCAGGATCATGAGATTATAAACTACTGGGAGGTAGGGGGACAAGCAGACAATAACAAAGTTACTGGCGCCTCCCTCTGGGACACTCTTGCTTCATGTCTTCTCCCAAGGTGAGCTGCAAGTTACTTTCAATATTCTCCTTGTTATTTGATTATAGTTTAGTTTCAAAACTTTGATTTGTTTTGATTTCCAGCTTGATTACTGTGGTTTTGAACCCAAGGACTTAAGGTGGAGTGGGCTGGATTGGCTGAGCCCTAAGTGTGCACAAAGCCTAGGGCGGGTGCACAGCTGACTTCCATCCCCACCCCTATCCAAAGGGCCAGGCGAGGCTAACTCTGTTTTGAATACTACCACTGTTCAGCAAGCCTGATGTCTATAGGGGAAGAAGCCGACCAGGATTCCAAACTGAAAAGTAACAGCTGCAGACTGAGGCAGTAAAGCTGGGCGGCTGTTGGTAAAATATTTCCAATGGGGACAAAGGCCTTGGGCCAGGAAGTGAGTTCCAGGAAGGGTGCAGAGAAGCAGGCATTGGAATGAGCCCCTGGTGTGAGGGTCACCTGATCCCTGGAGATGTCCCACCCACCAGTTCCATAGGGAAAATGATCTTGGAGAATTTGAAAAGCTTAAGCATCTGTGAAATGACTTCAAGGCAAAGGACCAGACACCTCCTGGTACAGCACAGCTTCTTAAGGAGCAAGTTATCAAAAGGCACAGAAGCTCACAGATGAGGAAAAAGTGAGCCAAGGTGCTCTCTCCCAGCTGCGGGGCAGTCTGTGCAGGTGAAGGGAACCCTCACTGTGGATCTGACTGGGAAGGCTTGAGTGGACCTCCTGCTTGGCCAGCTGAGGGCTGGGCTTCTTCCCCTGCCAGCTAGATACCACCTCTGTGACACAGCAACCACTGTAGTGCTGGCACGAGGACAAGGCCTCATATCAGTCACCCAGAGCCCTGTAGGAAGTTGCCTGAGCCATGCAACTTCTGTGACCCTGCTCAGCACAAAAAGAGCTACACAAGTCACTATAAGCCCCTCCAGTCACTAACATCTGTATGTTGAGTTACATACATCAATTAGCCACCTTTTCTACCCGGCATCGAGTCTTTCCCAATGCTTGGTTCCCTGGAATTCCACACCTGGCCCTCCATCCGTAAAAAATGGCCTTTTAGTTACTCAGATTCTACTTCCTTTGAGTTAGGGAGGTGCTGGGGTATGTCCTGGGCTCTTTTCATTTTATAACAGGTTCTCACTAAGTCAGTAAACTGCTCAGGCTGGGGTCCAGTGATTGCAGCCTTCCTGCCACAGCCTCCTAGAGTGCTAGGATTACAGGTTTGCACCACCATATGCAGCTCAGACTCTATCTTTTAGAGGAGAGGGTTTAGGGGAGCCCTTAGGAATCTGCTACACTCATCTCTCTGAAGGATAATTGCATGAATGCTCAGTATTGAAGGGTAATACTGTGCCCCAAAAAGGAGACTCCAGGAATCTTAGGTTCCACAGTATCAGAGCCATTTTCCTGAAGCTTCCAGCCTGGAGCTCACCACTTAGTTATTTCCTCAAATGGAGGAATGTTGTATGGATGCATTTAGTCAGAATTAACTATTAGAACAGCAATGGGCAGAAAGTGGGGTGTAGCTCAGCATACAGCGCTGGTGGAAAAACAGAGATAAGGCCTTGGATTCTGTCCCCAATGCAGAGAAAAGCAGCCCCATCCTGTATGACCAGAATTGTCCTCCTCCACCCAGGATCTGAACTGCATCCCTGGCACTTCAAAACAGGGTCTCTCTAAACTGACAGATTGCTGGGTGTGGTGGCACACACCTAGAACACCAGGACTCAGAGGCTGAGGCCAACCTGGGCTACATAGTACATTCAAGATCACCCTGAACTACTTGACCCCATCTCAAGAAATAAATTTTTAAAAATCTGGCAGGTAACCTGGTGTGGACTTGAGCTTGCTTCAATACTATGCAAGTTCTAGTTATAAAAAGTGGGCATTGAGAATGGAGTGGTCCACTGTTCCATTTACTTGGTGCTGTCTGTGACCTACTATGAAACACAAAGCTCCAACTCCCTGACAGGTGTCTTTAGATAATCGGATTGTGTAGACTGAAACACTGGAAAATAAGGGAAATGACTACATAAACTCACCGAGGTATCATGTGTCTTACTCTACTATAAGAGGCCAGGGTGTAATGGTGGTGCCAGATACAGGGCTCAGTGGCACATATCTGTGATTACAGCTACATGGGAGATTGTGGCAGGATCTCAAGCTCAAGCCCAAGTTTGGCAGCTCATTGATAATATGTCACAAAATAAATGGCTGGGCATGTAGTTCAGTGACAGAGTAAATGCCAAGAACAAGAGCCTAGGTTTGACCTTCAGTATCACCAAAGAAAAAAAAGAGCAGCTGGGGGCGTGACTCACTGCTGGAGCATGCAAAGCACAGTGCAGGGCTGTGCGTGGTGACATTCACCCATAACCCAGCTGCTCAGCAGACAGGATGATGTTGGAGTCCAGGATGGAAGACAGCTATATATAATTATTTGACCAGACAAGGTGATGCACATGACTGTGATCCTAGCATTTTTGGAGGCCAAGTCAGGAGTTCAAGGCTAGCCTAAACTACATACTGAGATCCTGTCTCAAAAAAAGAAAAAAAGCCCAAAGACAAAGCACAATTATTTGGCCAAATTTTTACTCATTGAACCACCAGGTGAAACTAAGCATAGACAAAAACTTTCTTATTCATTTGCACTTAAAAAAGCCAAACAGTCATACCAGATTCATCAGGATGCAGCTGTGATGTGTGTAAGACATCTTTCTACAAATATAAGTCAACACAGTGGGGGTCACAACAAACCCACAGCCCAGAGTATTGGGCTGGAGGGGAACAGGGCAGCGCACTGTAACTTAACCCTTCACCTGAAGAACTGACATTGAAAACAAGTATTTCTAGCCCAGTGTAATGGCACACAAGAGGATCCCTAGCATTTTGGAAGGCTGAGGCAGAAGGATCCCAAATTGAAGCCCACAGCAAGACTTTGTTTCAGAAGAGGGTGGGGCAGGAATGCATCTCAATATGAAGGTCTTGGATTCACTCCCAGTTTCACACACAAGGGTGGAATTTACCAGGTCTTTTTGCAGTTCAGGTATGGATCCCAGGACCTCAAGCACGACAGGCAAGCACCCTACCCAGGTCCCAAAAGGGATGTGTGCAGTTTTAACAAGCAAAGCCCTGCATTCCCAGAAAACAGCAATGACACTTCATCACAGCTTTTTGTCCCCCTTGAGTTGGGTTCCCCATCCAGACATCCGACAGTGCTGTACCCAGACACCACCTCCCTGCAACACACAAGGTCACTGAAGGCTCCTCCTTCAGACTCCAGTGCTGCCCACATCCCAGTGTTGTCACCAAAGTTACAATGAGAAACAGTACCACCCTAAAACAGCAAAACCCTGCAGGAAGGAAAGGAGTGTCCACCTTCCTAGATCTTCAAGCAGCAAGTTCCTGGCATAATTTAGGAAAAGATCCAGGGCCTAGGAGTGGTACAGTACTCCTGGCTGTCCCCGACTGCTTCCAGCATGGCCTCCAAGTTGCTGGTGGGGAAATTCTGTGGGAAAGGCAGGCAGGGCTGCAGGGACTCCTCTCCGAAGCTGGGGAATGGGCTGTTCCAGGCTTGGGGGCACCAGCTCTGCGTGTTCCAGGTCTCCGTGTTCCAAGAGTGGTTGCCCCAGGACTGGCTGCCCCAGGTCTGGCTGCTCCAGGCTGAGTTGTTCCAGGTCTGGTTGCCCCACATGGGAAGGTTTCCAGATGTGTTCACCAGGCAGCTCTGGGCATAGTTGGAGCAGACACCTGGGTACTCTGCTGGGGCTGGAACCTTCTGGAAGAGAATAGGTTAGCAGCTGCTGAGTCACCCCAGCAGGCTGGGACTTGCTATGAGCTATGCAGGAAGAGGCCTAGGAGCTGCTCAAAGTGTGCCAAGGAGGCAGTGACCTTTGGGATGTGACTGAGACCCTCCCTGAAGAAAAGCAGGCTTTGCGCGCTCCACCCCACAGGAAGTTCTCCAGAGCTGTGAGGGGGAACCTGGGGGAACTGGGATGACCAGTAAATTGAAGGTGAGTGCAAGCCACTGGAGGAGAAGCTGGAGGATAAATCTAAGATACTCTGCACACACTTAAAGAGCAATGTTCTCCAAAGGTCGGGGAATGAGCGCAAAGTGTTAAAACCATGCAGAGGGGCCTTGAGGTTCATTGCTTTTCTAAACAATGATTCCTTCCTTTCTTTATAGCAGAGTAGTATTTCACTGTGCATGAATAAGCAGAAGAGGACAATAAAGGATAGTGAGGGAGAAAGATCTTTTTTCAAAAATGAATGTAAAGGGTATATAGGTGGAAGGGAGAGGTGCAGGGCAGAGGTAGGGAAAGGAAAGAGAATTAGCTGTGGTGCATACACATCCTGATTCCCCTTGGTGAATGCAGTCCTGGTGTATTGCAAATGAGTGTTGATGGAAATAAAAATGTTGTTTGTTTTGGGTTGCTTGAGACTCAGTCCCACTATGTACATCAGCCTGGTCTAGAACTTGAATCCCTCCCATTGCTGGGATGCTCAATTTAAAACTTAAAAAAAAAAACAAGGAAACTATAAAAAAAAATAAATAAAGAGAGGACAAACAGTGAGTTCACTCACAGGGCAAAGGGAAGGAAGTTAGAGCTGGGTGCTATTCTATGCTTTAGAGAAGACAAAACCAACTAAAAGCCCACAGAAGGAAAGACAGCACGTGTGTACAGTCACCTCAGGTGCACCAGAACCGTTCTGCAGCCCAGTGCTTTTCTGCCATTTCTTGCATTTCATTCTCTGATTTTGGAACCAGGTCTTAATCTGCAGCAGAAAGTGGTAAGAATTAGAAAATACAATGCAGGGGGCTGGGAATTTAGCTCAGCGGCATAAGCGCCTGCCTTGCAAGCAGGCAGTAGTGAGTTCCATCCCTGGTACCGATAAAAAGGAAAAAGACAAAAAAAACCCAACAACAACAAAAAAAGAAAATACAATGCAGATGTGCTCGGCATCAGAGGATGCTGTAAATTTCCCTTCCTAACAACTCAGGAATTAAAGTGTAAATCAGAGTTCCATGAAAGTATTTCTTTTTTTTTTTTTTTTTGTCTTTTTCGTTTTTATCGGTACCAGAGATCGAACTCACGACTGCCTGCTTGCAAGGCAGGCGCTTATGCCACTGAGCTAAATCCCCAGCCCCTCATGAAAGTATTTCTAAGCCTTTTAGTCAGTAAATCCAACCAGCTACACTGAGCAACATGACACACTCCTGTAGGATGCTGAGGCACAGGGATCACTTGTATAAAACAAGGTGGGAATGGTGGCACATGCTTGTAATCCCAGCATTTGTGGGACAGATGGCTGTGAGTTTGAGACTAGCATCAGCTACACAGTGAGTTGAAGGTCCACGTGAACTGGATAGCAGACCCTGCCTCACAAAGCAAAATAATCAAACAAACTGAAAAAACCCCACAGGGTGGGGAGACATAGCTTATTAGCCTGTGTTGCACCCTGGGCTCCAACCTAACCACTGCACAAAATGGTTTATGCAGATGAGTTGTTTGTAATAACATCCCCCCCAACAAGAATATATTGTGGCACTGGAAATTTAAAAAACATAAAATATTTGTCAAATATGCAACTGGAATTCAGTAATGTGTCGCAAAAATTTAAAAGCTATACACTCATAGGACAAAGAGTTTTAGTTTGTTTTTGAGACAAGGTCTCACCACTTAAGTAGCCCAAACTGGCTTTAAATGCATGATGATCCTCCTGCCTCAGCCTCTTGAGTGCTGGGATTTTACAGGCCAGGCATGCATCACCACAACTGGCAAGATCTTTTGAAGACAGACAAATCCATTTTTAATAAGTGAACATTTGAATAAAAAGTAAAGGATTTAAAAAGGAGGAGTGCGAAAGAAGACTGAAAAGGGAAGAGCCAGGCATGGTTGCACCTATAATCCCACAATTAGGGACTGAGGAAGATCACAAGTTCAAGACCAGCCCTGGCCTTAGCAAGACCCTGTCTCAAAATAAAACTGAAGGGGCTGAGGATTTAGCTCAGCAGCATAAGCACCTGCCTTGCAAGCAGCAGTCGTGAGTTCGATCCTTGGTGCCGATAAAAATGGAAAAAAAAAATAAAAAATAAAAGTGAAGATGGGCATGGTGTGCTAACCCCAGAACTCAGGAGACTAGCAAGACTACATGGCGAGTAGTCAACAAACAACTGTAAAGGCGTTGAAAAGTACACACAGAGCTGCATTCAGGGAGGTTAGCCAGCTCTCTGCAAATCTTTTTAGTTTCCGTCCTACAACCACAAAGGGCCCACCTGCTTGCAGCTGAGGTTCAGGAGGCTGGATAGCTCCTGTATGTGCTGCAGGTTGAGGTACTGCTGCCTCTGGAAGCGGTCTCTGAGCACACATAGCTGCATCTTCGAAAGGACGGTGTAGGGCTTCAGCTTCCTACCTGCGACCTTCCCCTCCTCCTTCCTGCCCAAGGCCTCCAGGGAGCTGGGTAGGGTGGCACAGGGGATGGAGGAGTCGGGGGTCTCCTGGGTGAGCAGATTCCCAGAGGAAGTGATGGGAGAGGCTGCTGGGGACAAGAAAGCAACACTTGACTCCAGAACTATAGTTTTCAAATACTGAAATTTTAAATGTATATTTTTCAAATCACTTTCATACAACTTACAACCTTAGACCCAGGTAATGAATCCCATCTTAATTCCCTCTCATTTTGATACAAGGTCTAGATAATTTACTAAGTTGCCCAGGCTCTCAGCAAACTTGTGACCCTCCTGCTTCAGCCTTCCAGAATGCTGGGATTTCAGGCTTGCATGACCATAGCTGGGTCGCTTTTTTTCCCTCTCATGGTTTTTTTGAGAGCTCTCCCTAGGCAGGCTGACTTTGAAACCATAATGTTGCCCAAACAGGGCTGGAACACAAAATGATCCTCCTGCATCAGCCTCCCACTGGGATTAAAGGGGTGCACCACCATGCCTGGGTTTTCCTTTTCTTTTCTTTTCGGGTGCTGATGATTGAACTCATAACCTCACACTTGCCATTGCCAGGTAAGGGCTTGTGCCACTGAGATAGATCCTCAGCCCCTTTTTGGTCTTTTTTAGACAGGGTCTTACTATACAGTTCAGGCTGGCATTGGCTCACTTTGTAGCCCAGGCTGGTCTAGAACTTGTAACTTCCTTGCCTCAGCCTCCTGAATGCTGGGATTATAGGAGTGTGAGTGACATCACATGTGGCCTGCTGCTTTTTTTTCTTATCCTATACTGAGCACTGCCAACTGCTATACAATAATAAATGTTGTACTTTTAGGTGTTTTTTTTTTGGTACTGGGACTCGAACTCAGGATCTTGTGCTTGTCAGGCAGGCATTTATGCCGCTGAGCTATTATGCCAATAATAAATGTTTTAACAATCTTCATTTCACAAGCATTTCAGGGGCTGGGGATTTAGCTCAGCGGCATAAGCGCCTGCTTTGCAAGCAGGCAGTCGTGAGTTCGATCCCTGGTACCGATAAAAAGGAAAAAGACAAAAAAAAAAAAAAAAAAAAAAAAAAGAAGAAGAAGAAACACAAGCATTTCATTTTATTTTCTGGTTCCAGGAATGGAACCCAGATCTCAAGCAGGCCAGGCACGTAGTGCCCTCTCTGCACCCCCTACACTCAGTAGCTCAGTGTCTGCTGGGATGCTCGGAGTGCCATTCTCCACATTCAACTCCAGTTACACCCTGTGCTCATCAACTGAAACACAAGCACCAATACAGCAAAAAGCCACCATCTTCTCTTGCTGCTTATTTTTGTTTATTTTGGTACCACAAAATGGAACTCAGCACCTTGCACTTGCCAGGCAGGCATTGTGAGTCTCCTGTTTCTTGCCGGTAGCTCTAAAAATGAAAGTCAGCTAAATGCTAGAAACAGGGCACAGTAAATGAAATAGACAAGCCTCGTGGCACAGGCCTGTGAGCCTAACACACTCTGTCTGTGAGGCTGAGACAGAAGAATCACAAGTTCTAGGCTGTGAAACTTAAGGACTGACCAAACAAAAATTCAAGATGTAGCTCAGTGCCCATCACCACAAACCAGAATAAAACAAAACCCAATGCTGAGTCAGAAGTAGCTGAGCCAGGATCTGATCCAGTGCCTGGCTAGAAAGCTAGTGATCCGCACTGCTCTGGGTTCTTGTGGAGGTCAGGCTGCCTGGTTTCTTGTCAAGTTACTGCCCAAAACCCAGCACTTTGTTTGCAACACTTGACATCATAGAACAGTAACCCAAAGTTTAGAAAAACAGGCTAACAGAATACACAGTGGTCAAGGCTGAGCATGGTGGTGCATAGCTATAATCCCAGCACGCAGGAGGCTAAGGCAGGAGGCTCACCATGAGTTCAAGACCAGCCTGAGCTATAAAGGGACTTGAAGCCCAGCCTGAACTGCACAGTGAATCACCATGTCAAAAAACAAAACAAGTGTCCCAGCGATATAGTTCAGTGGCACAAGCGCCTGCCTGGCAAGCCCAAGGTCCCGAGTTCAGTTCCAGATAACTAAAAACCCCCAACAAACAACTATATGTGTATAATGGTCCAATACAACAGGCATTGTTCCGTTAACCTTCCTTTCCCACAAGTTTTACAGATACGACCGTCAAAACTTTTTAATACCGCGCGTTGCTCCCATTTAGCGCACTGGGCACGAGTTGCATGGCCAAAATGGGTCTCGAACGCGCGCTGTAGCCCCTTTCCGCCCGCAGGGCGGTGCAGACTCGGGCAGTTGTCACCACCAAGTCGGGCGGCACTGACTTGGGAGCACCGCGGGGAGCTTAGGACCTGCGTCCCGCGTCCTCCGTCACCGCAACACGCGCGCCTGCGCGGCGCTTCCAGCCGCCCGGCGGGCTCAGCCGTCTCCGCAGCCCCGGAGCTGGGCCCGGGCAGGGCGGCGCCAGCCAGCACACCGGGACGCGGGGCGTCCGCCTTCCCTCGGGAGCCGGCTGCGCGGCGCGGTTTCCTTACCAGACTCGGCCAGCGGCTGCTCGGCCTCAGGCGGCTGCAGGGCGCCGCAGGTCTCTGCAGGCCTGGGAACCTCAGGCGTCGGCGAGGGGTCCCCGGAACCCGCGGCTTCCGAGCAGGACAGGCTTGGGGGGCAGTCCGGGGCCACACTCATGGTGTCCACGAGGGAAACAAACGAACTGAGTTTGAGAGCGGTTGAGAGACTAAGGCTCTCCTTAAGACTTATGCCTCAGTGGGAGAGCTGAGAATAAGAGGAAGATTTCCACACGGGTCAGCCCGGCCCGCCCGGCCTGCGAGTTTCTAAGGTGGGCCCGGGAGACCCGCCCTCCGCCGCCCACACCCCCTACGCCCCCCAGGCCCTGCTGAGTTCCGGGTGAATTCCTGTCTGCCGGGGGCACCTCGACCATTGTCATGCAGAGGGTGCTGTGGGGCGGCCCAGACGGGCTGGGGAGCTTGAAGCCCGGGAGGGAGGGATTGGAAGGAGGGGTGAACCCAGCAGGATCCCAGTCCGGGCTTCAGTACCTTACCCCAGTAAAGGAAGACCCACCCCAATACCTGGAATTCTCCCCTAGCTTTTCGTCCCGGGGCCTAAAGAAATACTTGGGGTGCAGGGCCGATGTCTGGGGACCCCGAGGAGGTTAGGTATTTGCAATTTCTGCCTCAGTTCCTTATTGTTTTTCAGATTTTTAGAAAGGAGAGGAGGAAAGGCATTCCTCCAGGAGGCTTGGCTTTCATCAAAAGCCAGAAGAAAGGACTTGTCCACGTGGACACTGTGGTGGCCATTACCCACCTATCTTGCTAGGAGAAACTTTGTAATTAGATTTTCTTTGTTTGCTGTAATTAGTTTTTTGGTAACTAGCTTTTCTTCACAAATTACTGGATAGAATCTTCTCAGCTACTTTAGTAAGTCTCGGGGTGGTGGTCAGGTTTCTTTTTCCTTCCAGTACTGGAAATTGAAGCAGGGCTTGTGCACTCAGCTACATCCCCAGCCTTTTTCATTTCTCATTTTGAGACAAGGTCTTGGTAGCTCATCCTGGCTGGCCTTGAACATGTGATACTCCTGCCTCAGCCTCCTGAATAGATGGATTCCTAGAGTGGTTCCTAGTACCACTCACTGCACCTGGCTGTTTCTATGTATTTATCTGTAAGTAGGGACAGAAGTACCTCCTCTGTGTTTTTTTCTTCAGTTTTTTGTTTTTGTTTTTGTCTTTTTGAGACAGGATCTCGCTATGCAGTTCAGGCTGGCCTTGGGCTCATCTTGTAGCCCAGGCTGGTCTCGAACGTGCAAAGTCTGCCTGCCTCAGCCTCCCAAATGCTGGAGTACAGGAGTGCGCTACCACACCCAGCCTACCTGCTGTGTGTTGATGTGGGAATTAAAGAGGAAATACTGTGGCCAAGCATGGTTTCACGAGCCTGTAATCCCAGCCCTCTGAAGGCTGACGCAAGATGTTGAGGTCAAGACCAGCCTGAACTGCATAGGTAGACGTGGTCTCAAAAAGAAAAGAAAGAGAATGCTAACTACTCAATATTTATGCCCTAATGGATTAACCACTAGTGACTATTTTTGAAATTCTGTCAGGATCCTGTGTTCCAAACCACGGAGTTTTTTTTTTTTAATTTTTCCTTTTGGTACCGGGGATTGAACTCCAGACCTCGAATTTGCCAGGCAGGCATTTATGCCGCTGAGCTAAATCCCTGGCCCCTGTACTTTTAAAGTTTTAATTTGTATTTGAAGCAAGATGTATTTCTATCATAACGATATGATAGAAAAAAGCATCATTTTTTACTTGGGGCAGCTGAGGCTTGAAGATAGTTAAGTCCAACCAGGACAATTTGATAAGATCCTGTCTGAAAATAAAACCAAAAACCTCCACCATAGTGTAAAGGAAGAAAGAAAAGTATTTCTTGTTTCATTTGAGACATTGCTAGATGTAAAGTAATGAGATTCATGAAGTGAGTTTGATGCCAGCCTGAACTGCATAGCAAAACCATGTCTCAAAAAAAGATACCCCACACACACACACATGGGCTGAGGAAGTTGGGCATGGTGCCACAGGCCTATAATCCCAGCACTCAGGGAGGCTGAAGCAGGAGGATGGCTGTAAATTTGAGGCCAGCATATGCTACCTAGCAAGAGTCTGTCTCAAAAAAAAAAAAGCAAAAAGGCTGGGGATCTAGTTCCCTGGGATGTGCTCTCTCAGCCTGGGATTCCACCCCCAGTACCACAAGAAACAACTAAGCAAAGAAACAAAAAGAGAAACATTCTGCTTTCAAACTCCATCAGCAGGCTGGGAAATGGGGGTTGTCCTGGCCTCCAAATACCTGGGTCCCTTTGTGTGCAGGGTGGTGTCCCTGCGGTGATGGACCAGGGCAGAGGAGGTGCAGCCAACAGGGTACCTTCTTCCTGCCCAGGACAGTGATTCAAGTGAGGCTGAGGTTTGGGAGCCTGCTGGGACTGGCTTCGGAGTGTGTGGGTGGAGGCCTTGCTTGGGATGGCCAGGGTGGGGCAGATGAAAATAGAGTGACCGAAAGGACTGCTGTGATTCCAGGCCAGCCCAGTCTGCATTCCAAGACCTGACCTGAAACAAAGCAAAACAAAGGACCCTGAAGGCCATCAGGTGCTTTGTGGTGACAGATGATGAATTTCAGATGGACAGAGAGGGAAACTGGGGGGCCTACGGGGGGGGGGGGTCCTGG